ATTTCCAATAATACTTACCTCCGCTGACACTTATAGCTATTATTTGATCACCAGGGTTTCATCTTTTCCCACCTAAGCATTGGTCTGATTTTTTCTTGCTTCCTCTTTTATACCCCACTCAATTGCCCTTGGCAATATGTGTCTGGTGATACTCTCCACCTATGTCAATGCGTCCTCTATCTTGGTACTGTATATAAGTACCTCATTCAGATGATTTTATCACTTTTTTGAGACTGAAACTATCCCAGTCTCTAACACCAGCTCTTAGTGGGGAGAAAGAAGGAGGGGGAGAGGGTCAGTGAAGGTAAGTATTATTAGAAATACATTTTCAATTTAGGAAAATGTTAACTTCCAAAACACACCTTCACTACTACTTATGGCTAAAATCCCACATTGAGAAAGTGGAGAAGCTGGTGAGGGCATTATTCATACAGAAAGTGACTGCATAGATCATGGATCTACCATGATGTATGCTTTTCACCCAGAACTTAGTTCATGTATTAGGATGGAATAGTACATGAGTAATCATCATTATAAGCCAGTCCCAACCAGATAGTGAAGTTCCACTACTCATGGTTGGAATTAAGGGGACTAGGTCCCTATATCCCAAGTTGGTGGCTGGGGCAATTGGACCACAAAATTATATATATATATATATTTTTAATTAAAGCCAAACCTGTAGCCATAGAGTGATGCATTCTGAACCACTGAAATCACGACAAGTAAGCAACATTAAAGCAGACAAACCTCCTACTCCTGAAGAAGACTAAAAGGCAACACCACAGGCTCAGAATGATGGGATCATGTATGCCTTACTCAACCAAAGGAACAGAACTCATCCAGTCTGGAATTATGAACAGGAGTCTTCCACTTGCCCTCAGAATTAGGGGAGGATGTGGAACAACTATACTCAACCAAGGAAGGATCTAGGATGGGACCACTCTGCATTTGGAATTACAAGGAGATAGTGGACTTCCTTCCAATATACTAAATCAACATTGATCAAAAAGAAGGTCCATGCATATCCCAACTGGATAGCTTAGCATCAAATCTGAACCAGTATTAGGAGTAGGCTTCTATGGAGGCTGGTGCCTCTCCTACTCATATCTGGAAAAAATATCCATGGGCTCAGGTAGGAGGGCCCCAACTTTGCCCTCTTTTCTAAGAGTGAATGTAATCACTTGAACACTCTGGAGGAAATGCCTCTGTCTACCACCCCGGTGACTGGAAACTGGGTGTGGTAAGAACTCCCTAGCTCCACTTGTAGAATCTGGGAAGTAATGCACCTTGGGGAGTCCTGAGGAACAGTGCTCTGGAAACAGTGCAATAGGCGAACCAAGTTCCCTAAATTTTTAAAAGTAAACCAACCCCAATTTATTCAATTCGATGATCAGCTGGGACGAACAGGATTCCCTTTAGCTTTACTCATGATAGTCCATGAGTGGAGCCATTCTATGAGCTGCTTTGTCACGGCTAATAAAGGCTGCCTACCTACTTACTTTAAATTCTATCTATTATGTTAGTAAAGTTTATAGGATAAGCCTTTCAAAACATTTAGCTACACAGTAATGTTGTAAGATATAAATCATTTCAATTTAAAAGCTAGCTAGAGGGCACATGATATTAAAGTAACCTAAAATGCCTAAAAAGTTCTAAATTTGATGTCAAGAACCTAGTAAATTTAAGAAGTATCGGAAGGCGAGAGCAGATTATAAATACGAAAATCAGTGAAACACTGAGTCAATGTGTTTTGCTCTATGCTAGCAACCAATCAGTAAATTTTGTTTTTAGTGGTAGAGTGTCAGTGAAGTATTTGGATTAGTACTGGTTATCACATATATTCAGTTACTCCACCAATTAACCCTGAAATTGTGCAAGAAAGTTTATTTTTTACATTAGTCATAGTAATGTTAGCGAAGTATTTCCATTTGAACGTCATTTGTAAGCTAAGGCCTATAAATTACAATAGTGTACAAGTTCATAAAAATGTTAAGGAAGAAATTAACTAATTTGTTATTGCTACATAGACTGTACTTCAAATTATTCTTACCAAATCATTTAAACGAACCCTATTAATGAAAGTACAATGTCACAACAATATCAATTCTGATGTGACTCACAAGTTCTTTACGTTTTCTTTTGAAAGTAATTAGTAATTTTATACCAAATACGAACCGATTATAATCGAGAAATTTATTATTTTCATTTGAAGTGTTAAAGCAATTTTGTTTGTTCGTAATTAAGCACAAAGCTACACAATGGACTATCTGTGCTCTGACCACCATGGGTATCAATACCCGGTTTCTACCGTTATAAGTCCGCAGACATGTCGCTGTGCCACTGGGGGGCAAGCAGTTTTGTAAAATTATATATTTTACTTTAAGCTTAGATGTTAATGAATATGGTACCCCATCTAAAGGCATTAAGACCTGGTTCTGATCTATGTAAACCTGAATATGTTCTAAAGATTTGAACGTACTGTTGCGTGAGTGAGGTCATGTGACTAATGTCACGCCACTTCTCTCGAACCTTCGGGAATAGTC